AGTTTATAGGACCAGAAGGACAGGTAGGGAAATTAAAGCTAGATGTGGCTAACATAGCAATGATTTATGGAGATGTGATTTTGTTATAGCAGTAAAATCACAAGTTACCATTCATCCAATCTCAGAAACAAACCATCAACTAAAGTATGCTTCTGAGAAAAATATTAAAAGATATTAAGAACAGTCACGACTATTCAGGATGTACTTAAGCAGGGCACAACATCTGATCTTTCAAAGGTGCCAACAGTAATACTTTTAAAATGGTTAACCGACAAACTCTGTGTGTAAAATAATTGTCTTTGACATCAGAAAAATCACAGGCACTAGAACAGCTGGTAGAGGAGCAGCTAAATGCTGAACATACTGAAGAAGTGACCAGTCCTTAGAAGTCTCCTATATTTGTCATTAAGAAGAAATCTGGAAAATTCAGACTGTTAACAGATTTAAGGGCCATAAATAAGGTGAATCAGTCAATGGACTCTCTACACCCTGGAATTTCCTTGCCTTCTCTATTACCTAAAGGATGGTCTATTATTGTAATTGATTTAAAAGACTGATTTTTTACTCTTCCTTTACAAGAACAGGGCAGAGAAAATTTTGCCTTCACAGTGCCTATTTACAGTCCCCCAATTGTTAAAAAGATATCAATGGAAAATTCTTCCACAATGGATGTTAAATAGCCACACCTTACATCAATATTTTCTACAACAGCCATTGGAAATAATCCCTAAACAGTTTCCTCTGTCTATAATTTAACATTATATGGATGATACCTTACTAACTGATTCTGATGCAATACCTTAAGAGAAATATTTGAAGTAAAGAAAGTATTTTCCTTGTTGGGGAAAAAGTACAAAGAGTAGATTCTATAATTACCTAGAATATAAAATAGATTTACAAAAAAGTTGAACCACAAACATTTCAAATCAGGAGAGATCAATTCTGAACTCTTCATGATTTTCAAAATTTGCTGGGAGATATTAACTGGCTACATCCCACAACTGTATTAACAACTCAAGAACTAAGTAATTTATTTCAAACCTTACAAGGTGAAACAGACCTAAATAGTTCAAGAAAATTATCAGCTGAGGCTGAGAGAGAATTGACTTTGGTAGAAAAGAAATTGCAGGATGCACATGTGGAGTATTTGGATCCAGAGTTTGATTGTATTCTGGTTATGTTACCCTCTATGTATTCTACTACAGAAATTCTTATAGAGAGAGAAGATAATATTTTAGAATGGATATTTTGCCATACAAACAAAGTAAAAAAATAAAGATCTATGTAGAAATGCTGTGAGTGATATGGGATTTCCCTCTGTATGTTATGAATATGTTTTTATTGTCATTGGTTAATAAAGAAATTGCATTTGGCCAATGGCTTTACAGAATATAGCCAGGCTGGAAAATATCTATCTATCTATCTATCTATCTATCTATCTATCTATCTATCTATCTATCTATCCATCCATCTATCTCTATATCTATCTATATCTATATCTATCTATATATCTATCTATATATATGTATATATAGAGAGAGAAGGCAGAGTCCAAGAGAAGCCATGTAGATGCTGCAGGAGAGACAAATGCCAGATGCCAGACAGAACCTTACTGGTAGGCCACGACCACGCAGTGATACACAGATTAATAGAAATGGGTTAGTTTAAGATCTAAGAGCTAGCTAGAAATACACTTACACTATTGGCCAAACAGGATTGCAATTAATACAGTTTCCATGTGATTATTTTGGGTCTGGGTGGCTGGAAATGAATGAGCAGAATCTGCCGACATAGAAAGGTTTTAGAATTAATCATGAAAGGAAAATTGAGACTTTGTCAATAACAGGAATAGACCTGGCAGAAACTGTGGTGCCTTTTACTAATGCTGAAATTTCCTCATTATGGGCAGAAAATGAACATTGGCAAAGAGCTTTCAGTAATTGTTTTGCAACAAATATCTCAAAAGAAGAGACTTCAGTTTAAAAAAAGAACTAATTGGATCATTCCTCACATGGTACAAGGAACATCAGTTTCTGGAGGCCCTGTATCCTATACTGATGCAAATAAATTAGGAAAGGCAGGTTATAAGTCAGGAAATTTAAGAAAAGTGGCTCAAAGCCCTTATGATTCTGTTCAAAAGTTGGACTTATATGCTATTCTCGTGATATTATTATATTTTCCTGAACCTCTTAAAATAGTTACTGTCTCTCAATATACAGAATTGTTTTATATATTGAAACTACTGACCTTATTACAGATGATTCAGAATTAACTTTGTTTCTTATTCAATTACAAGAAATAATCAAAAATAGCAATCATCTCTTTTATATGACACATATCAGATCCCATACACGTCTAACAGGCCCTCTAGCACAAGAATTCAATGAAATCAATCAACTATTAGTAGTAAATGTGCTAAAAGCCTCAACATTTCATGAGAAACACCATGTTGATAGTAAGGGTTTAAAGAAGTATTTTTCTATCACTTGACAACAAGTCCTATTTATTCTTTGTATAACCAAACTTTGTATAACTACTACCTGCAAGAAGTAACCCAAAAGTTACTCAAAGAAATGCAATTTGGCAAATGGATGTGTTTCATTTTGTGGAATTTCAACGAGCAACTGCTTTGAGTTCTGAAAAAGCTGATTCTGTAATTATACATTTTTTTAGAAGTTATGGCCATCATGGGAATACCTGTACAAATTAAGACTGACAACGCTCCAGTATATATATCTAATAAAATTAAATAATTTTTTGTATATTACAACATAAAGCATATTACAGGTATACCACTCAATCCTATAGGACAATTATAAAAAAGATCTAATTGCACTTTAAAAGATATGCTTAATAAACAGGAAGGGATAATAAAGACCCCCAAGAGATAGATTACATAGCTCTCTATTAACTTTAAAGCTTTTGTATGCTAATGAAATATGGAGAGACATTGGATAGTAGAAAAAACTGCTGAATTAAATTGGTCTGTGTACTTCAAGGATATGTTGACCTCAGAATGGAAACCAGGATATATGTTACTTGGGGAAAGAGTATTTGTTTTGGTTTTCACAAGAGAAGAAAAATTATGGATACAATCCAGATCGATAAAGATTAGATTTGAACAGGTTGAAACCTCTTGATTAAAGAGAGGTGGTAGTTCACTGATCAGTTTGATCATTTAATCCAAGCTAACTTGTAAAACTAACAAATGCTTTTCATTCAATCAGTTATAACCTACCAAAAAGGGAAACTCCCCAGAGCTAGGGTTGGGGCAGAGTTTTGTCTTTCTGGGTCTGGGTTACCTCACTCAAAATGGTGTTTTCTAGCTCCATCTATTTGCCTGCAAATTTCAAGATGTTGTAAGTTTTTTCTGCTGTGTAGCACTCCATTGTGTAAATATACCACATTTTCCTTATCCATTCTTCAGTCAAGGGGCATTTAGGTTGTTTCCAGGTTCTGGCTATTACATATGTAATCACTCATAAATGGCTTTTAAACATAAAGCAAAGAAAAACAGCCTACATATCACAATCCCAGAGATCCTAGACAACAATGAGGACCCTAAGAGAGACATACATGGATCTAAACTACATGGGAAGTAGAAACAGACAAGATCTCCTGAGTAAATTGGGAGCATGGGGACCTTGAGAGAGGGTTGAAGGGGAGGGGAGAGGCAGGGAGGGGAGCAGAGAAAAATGTAGAGCTCAATAAAAATCAATAAAAAAATGTTTTTGAAGCAGACAGGTAGAGAAGAGGGTTACGTAATCTTTGCTTTGCTGTTCTGTGGATCAATCAGGCTTATTCCCTAATATTTGACTCCTGAGCTTTATTGAATAATAAAAGATTAAAAGAAGCCCCAATAGCCTACTATGAGACATTGGTATATGGTGGGTCTGCTTCCATTCTTGCTTCCTTTTAAATTTCAAAGTGTGAATGTCTTAGAGATGTCTTTGTTTTGCAAAGTCCACAGCTCCTCTTTCCCTGCTAGCTGGTGAGTATCTGGGAAGGAGGAGGGAAGTGGAGACCCACCTTTAAAATTTTCATGCACTCCTGTGTCACAGGCAGGGCCCTTGAAAGGTTATATGAGTTCAGAGAAGATTCAACTATCCATCTCTCAGCTTGTCAGGGATGAGACCGCAATCCTCGCTGGAGATGCCTGACTCCAAAGTTGTCTAGCTGCCACTTCGTCAGCCTGCTTTGTGGGTGCCAGAGCTCGTGGTTGAGACTTCCATGAACTGCCAGAGAGCTGAGCTCAGAGCTGGCCTCCATCAGACCCTCTGAAGTGTTGAGGACTTTGATGGGAAGGGATGCAGATGTTTTGACTGATCCAAGGCAATCAACCCGACAGCCCTGCTCCCCTCATGTTCTGGACAGATGGCGGCTCTTCGGGAGAAGCCTACAGACCCACGTGTGATGAATCATTACCTCCCCTCTCCAACTCATCAAGATAAAAGCTGCAAGCTTGGCCTTGGGTATAAACTGTGTAGCTTTCTGTCAGAACAAGCCACAGACTTTAATGCACTAGGGTAGCATTCAGCCAACTTGTAGCTATTTGTGATGACATGCATCAATGGGTGGCATCTGTCAACCTCACTGAGTTAGTTGTCTCTGAACCAAGAATGTCAGCATCCTTCTCCAGAGGGAGGACGGGAAGTCAGCCTGCGGGACGCTGCACGCTGAGAGAGAGCCCTATGTAGGCTGACAGAAGTATAGGGATATAAAGAGCAAGACAGAGGCTGGGGCCTTTTCATGGGGTCAAAGCGAGCTCTCCTGCCTTTTAAGTCACTTAAATATACTTCTCTGTGTGCTAGAAATGGAACCCAGGGCTGCCGATATGGTAGGCAGGCGCTCTACCGCTGATCACGCCTCCAGCCCTTTAAACACCTTTAAAACAATGGCATGTCAGTGCTCCTTTGGTGGTGGGAATGATTACAAAAATAGGTCTTTCGTGCTTCTCTACTTTTACAAGACATGTATTCCTTGCCCCTTGAAAGAGAAATGACTTTAAAAAAAAAATCCGCTCTTCCGGGGACGGTGCTTAGAGGCACTCAGGATGGTCCAGCGTTTGACATACCGTCGTAGGCTCTCCTACAACACAGCCTCCAACAAAACTAGGCTGTCTCGAACCCCTGGCAACAGGATTGTTTACCTTTACACCAAGAAGGTTGGAAAAGCACCTAAATCAGCGTGCGGTGTGTGCCCAGGCCGACTCCGAGGGGTTCGTGCTGTGAGACCGAAAGTCCTCATGAGATTGTCGAAGACAAAGAAGCATGTCAGCCGGGCCTATGGTGGCTCCATGTGTGCCAAGTGTGTCCGTGACAGGATCAAGCGGGCTTTCCTTATTGAGGAGCAGAAAATTGTTGTGAAAGTGTTGAAGGCACAAGCGCAGAGTCAGAAAGCGAAATAAACGTGCGGCTTTTTTAATAAAGGTCAAGGCTTGGTCTGTAAAAAAAAAAAAAAAAATCCACAGATCTCACATCTGAACGTTGAAATAGCAGCAGGATTTAACAGCCCTGGCCCGAAGCCAGCGGACCTGGGAATGAGGCCCAATTCCGCTACTCATTTTGTTTTGAAAACATAAGTTTTCTTTAGCTCAAGGCCCTCGAGAGAATACATTCAAAGGTTTTCGCTTGGCCCGTGAGACCGACAAGCACACTGCTGCCGGCGTGTGTTTGCACAATGGTCTCCCAGAGCAGATTTCAGGAGCTTTGGTCACAAACAGTGCAGGATTTCTTGAGGAGGATGATTCCAGAGAATGAGGCAGTGACAGGCAACACATGAGAAACAAGGAAGAGGAGGAGCAATAAAGGTGGCGTAGGGGCTAGTGGCCACCATGGGACACTGGCTTCAACTCTCCATGGTCCCTCTGAGGGAGAGTGTGTAGCGCACACCCTGGGCTCATCTGCCTAAGGGTGGGAGGCTGCAGTATGTCCCCTGGCTTCCTTCCTCACTGTTTTTTCTCCCCCAATAGCCCATGTTACTTTTCTTCTGTCCTTGCTCTGACCAAACGCCTGATGAGAAAAAGCTCAAGGAAGGACTATCTTGACTGATTGTGAGGGTACGGCCATGATGGTGGGGAAGGCATGGCTGAGTAGGGAGGGGAGCTCATGGCTGTGACCTGCAGGCCTCACCCTGGCAGTAGGAGCTCGTGCCTGAGACTCCGAACTTCCTCACAGCTCAGAGGAACTGGCAGGTAAGAAAGTAGGGGTGGGGCTATATACTTTAAGGCAAGCTCTTGCACGATTCACTGTGTCTGCTATGCTCTGCCTCCCAAAACAGGACCAGCAGGTGGGATTCAAGGGTTCAAATACATGAACACGTGGAAGACAATCCACATTCAAACCTGTATGGGGGCATTATCTGGTCAGCTTTACGTAGAGGTCGGACACACCATAGGCGCAGAATGGACTCTGACAGGCAGATACAGGTGCAGGGGCAGTTCTGAACGTCCCTAGATCAATCGGCCTCCAGTAAGCTTGACCGTTTACTAAGGCAGATGCTGAAGTCCAACTGGAGGATGCAGAGACATTTTGCGGCAGTTGTGTGTGGTAAGCATAAACCGTACTGGGACCAGTGGCAAGGAAAAAAGGATAGAAGTAGGCTTTTACTTAGTTACTGTGACCAGACACTCCCCAAAAGGACACCGGGTACCTAAGATGAGGGTCTATATGTGCCAAGGTGACAGCGTGCCAGCATACTGTGCAGACACGGGCTACATTATAAGGAATGATGCTAGGAAGGGATGCACCACACTAAATGGAGAAAAAATATGGATTCAGGGAGACACGTGAGTCCTTGCTCTCTCAAATCCCAGCCATGACCTTGGGCAAGCCACTTCACACCTCCGAGCATCACATTACTTGAGTATAAAAGGAAAGAAAAGATAGCCGCATCCAAGTTCCTCAGAACGTTTAAGTGATATGATGTCTATCCAGCGCTGTTGGTCTAACCATAGAGGAAACGCTCACAAGATGGACCCTGTGGTTATTAGGTTAAAGTGTCTTTTCACTTCCCACAAAGATACAAAGCAGTCAGAAAGACAGCAACAGTGTTTCCAGTTCACAGGCCTGTGTAGAACATTCACTGAAGGCTCCTGTGCTAAATGTTTGAGTCCCTGGGAAGGTGGCAGACCCCTTAAGAGGTGGGGTTAAACTGGGCAAGGATTGTGTCTGTAATCCCCAACACTCAGAAGTCTGAGGCAGGATGGTTGTCATTAGTTTAAGGTCAGTCTAGGGTACATGACAAGTTCCAGACAACCTGGGCTACAGAGCGAAGAAGAGGCCAGTAGGACAAGCTTCTCTGCTCTGCTGCCGGGAGCCTGGCTCTCTGGCTTCTTTCTCCCTGTCTTAATAAACTGTAGAGGAAAGGAGGAGCGATCTGGAGCAGCCGGCCCGTACCTTGCCTGTGTTCTCAGGCTGTCCACCTGCCCTGACATTGTTCTGCTGGCGTAGCTGGAGATTCTGAGTGGCTGGAACAAAGCTGAGCCAGTTCGGTGGGTACCCCAGCTGAGATAATGTTGACCCTTGGTCGCATTGCTATACAGCTGCCACCAGCAGGAGCTGGAGGGGGTAGCTCTGGGCACCTCGGGACTCCAGAGGTGTCTCCTACTGGAGAAATTGACTTGATATTAGGTGGAGCCAGAAGGAAGCAGGGAAGGCCTTGAGGTCAGCCTGGTGGAGATCAGTAGTGATGAGGAGAGGATGTTACTCAGTTCCTGCCATGCCCTGCAGGCTGGAGTCCTGTGCCCAGTTGCTCAGAGGGTCAGGAAGAGAAGGCTCAAGGATGATGACATTGCCTGGCGTGGTGGCATACGCCTTTAATCCTAGCACTTGGGAATCAGAGGCAGGAGAATGTCTGTGATACAGGAAGGAAAGGCACCACTCACAAGCCTGCTTTTCTGGTGGCTCCACTTACAAATGGAAACCTGCATACAGTTACTATTCACTTCCAGGAGACCGTGTGTTACCTGGATAGGAGACGGCCTCTGGCACAAGGGTTCCTTGAAAATGAATTCTATTTCTGCCTCTTACTAGTTGTAAAGTCAGACACTAGCCAAAGAACCTGCCACAGGCCCCCAAGGACTAACAGGCTGCTACTTGCTTGCACAGGGACAGGTACTCACTTAGTCACTTGGACTGGGGGTGTTAGTTACCGTGTTTGCGCCAAAGCATCTCAGGAACTATCCTGAGTGCATCTGGGGATACGAGTATGTTGGGGGTTGGATCTTTGCAGCTCAACATGGGCTCAAGCCAGATCCAAAGCTGTGGGGGTGGGCCTGGACCTGGGCCTGAACCTGGGCCTGGGGTGGTGGTAGGGTGGGGGCTCCTGTGGGCCAGAGGCTAGCTTAGAAGAGGCTTGTGGTGGGGGGGGAGGATGGATGAGCTGGCTCCATGCTCCCGAGAGGGAGGTTGCCTGACTCTGAGGCAGGCCTTCCCTGCTGGCTTAGGTTTTCCCGGCTTTCTGCTATTGTCCTCGGGGACATGCTATTTTAGGTAGCAGTCAAAATAAAACCGAGATTAACCCAGAATTCTTGGCAGTCGAACAATACCATAATTATGTAGTTTTTAAGTTCAGAAATTAGGCAGCTGACACTGACCCACCGGGGGTCCCAGGGCAGCCTTGAAGAAAATAAGGCCCGAGTCTCGGACTCTGTCACCTTCACAGACGTTTATCCACAGGCAGCCACTATAGAACCGTAACACTCTGTGAGGGGTTGTTTTGTCTCTGAGGAGTCATATTGCCAGGACAATAGTGAAACTAACTTGTTTCTGTACCAAATGCTGGTCTGTTGGAAGGGTGACTTATTCCTTTCTATATCATAAGTCCCCTCTCCACGGTCCTGGTCCCAGTGGCCGGAGGGCAGCGGAAGAACAGAAGAGCTTGTGTTTGGGGCTGAAGTACAGGGCAGGAATTCAGTCGAGGAGTATGTCTGCACTTTGATTGCCAATGAGGGCTGCCGACCCCAGAATCTAGCAAATAGACTCCTCCTTCTTTGCTAGGCACTGGGGGTGGGGGGAGTCAGACCTCTGAGAGTGAGCGCTTTTACCCAGACAAAAGAATGAGAGATTCAAATAGATGGAGGGGTCAGGATGATGTCAGTCGAGGTCACTGCCTGAAGAATAAAACAGTGGCTATGAACAGAGGCTCGAGCAGATCTCTGAGCTTCCCTGCAAAACGTCAAAATGCCTGGAGGAGGAAAAATGAAGCAACAGGGGTAATCCCAGAGGTGTGCTGAGAAAAAAACCACGACTATCCTTCAACACCAACCCGGCCCCAGGGATAAGGTGTTTCTGGAAAATCAATGCACTTAGCAGGAGTACAGATCTTGGCCAGGAAAGCGACCTAGCAAGAGATTAAGTTAGGAAAACTCTCCCCCTCATCCCCTGGCCAACTGCCTTGTTGGCTTGCAGGCAAGCAGACACCTAGCTGTTGACAGGCCTTCTTTTCTAGAGTCTTCTGGGAGCGGGTACCTTGTATCCACGGTAGCAACATGGGAGTGGCCTGCCCCCCTTCCCACCAGTAAAGGACCTGGATGCAAACACTTTTCCTACTGACTGTAACTGGGGGATGTTTTTCTTTCAAGAAGCTCTTCTACTACCCCCTTAATGGGGGTCATGGGCCAGCTCTCTGGGGAAGGTTTCTTAAAGATGGATCCTAACTTTTGACTTGGTTGCTGTTTGATTCCTCTCTCTCTCTCTCTCTCTCTCTCTCTCTCTCTCTCTCTCTCTCTCTCTCTCACACACACACACACACACACACACACACACACACTTACACAAACCTGAAACTTCTTTCATGGCCTCAGTAGCCAGAGAGAAAAAGAACCAACACCCTTGGGAAGCTGTTCCTGCAGACTGAATGTTCAGAGTTTCTAAACTGCTTATCCTTCACACTCACCCACAAATTAAGGTGCAAAGACATTTTCAAAACATCACCGAGTTTCACATGCTAAATTCTCTAGAAGAAACCATTTTCAGAAAGCAGAACCATTCCATATGACTTAATTGACATGTGATATTTTTTTTCCAGGAAAGCCGTCCTTCTACATATGCCTCTCTCGGTTCCTCAGATGTCTGTCTTGACACTAGTCTGTTTTGGACACACGCAGTTCCTTGTTTGGAGAGCTATTCGCCCTGGACTGTCCTTGTCAGGCCTCACATTTCATTTCTCCTCTTCATCTTCAGATCCACAGGGGGACCCTCACTGACCTCCCCTAAATCAGCTCTCCCGGCAGCACCGTGGATTTCCCACTACCGCTCATCACTCTTCGCTGCTTCCTTTACTCCCGGCCCTGGGCCGACAGCATTGTGCGGTCTTTGCTGGTGCGCAGCCATCCAGTAATGCTTAGGGTCTGTCTGATTCCGTCGTCTCTGTGCCTCAGTACTCAGCAGGGTGCTGTATATCTATGCACAGCTGCTAATTGCTTTTGAAGGACTCAATG